CTTGGCACCAGGGAGTTTTCAAGACAGTTTTTAAGCATTCAGCATCAAGCCGTATCTGACAAAATCAGTAAGCCCCCAAGCTAGACACTGGCAGTTCTGCCTCACAGAGACAGGGCTTCTTGGCTTAAGAGGGATTAGGGAGCAAAATGAAGAGAGTTTATCGCTGGGACTGAGCAAAGCACCAGCAGACTTTCTGGGTGTCAGATTTCCTGGTGGCTTCAGCAAACAGCTGCAGAGACCAGATTGCTTTCCTCCTCCCAGCTTGTGAGGGTTCCTAACATGAAGCAAATGAGCCCCAGAAACCACTGATGATCACTTCCCTTAACAGAACTGGTTATCTCCCCTAGCAGCAAGGAATGAGGCAGTGTTCAGAGAGCAAGCGTTCATCCCAGCATTCCTCAAGTTCAGAGCTAAATATGAAGCAACATTGAAATGACAAACGCACACCTTGTTTCCTGAATTGCAGGGAAGGGTACAGCACGTACCCAATTCAGTTGATGTACCTCATTAAGATCTAAAATTAGACTGAACCTCTGAGTTTCTGTAGCATCCCAAGCCTACAGTGCTGGAGCTGCAGTGGCAGAACTGGAGGGCTGCTCTAATACTCAGTTTGATATATCGCTTCAAACACATACCCAGAAAAGCTCTTTGAATTTATTTCTGACCAAGTCCCAGATTCTGATGACCCACCACACTGAACTGTCAGCAGCTGGTTTGGCTGGAATAGTTGTTCCCTCCATCTTAACAGCCAGCAGAATTTGGGACCAACAGCATTTGTCTGCCTATTTGCTTTCTCCCAAGTTTAAGTACTGAAGCCCAGCAATCTCCGCTAACAGATGGATTCTCAGAGCACCATTTCCTTCCCTCCAGCTGTGTACCCAGTGTTGGATAATAGCCATGCATCAGGCTGTCACATGGTCGCTTGCAGGCTTCTCCACAGGGATTAGGGAAGGCACTGCTGTGTCAGCATCAATGCTCCTCAGCTTCCTGCTCATGTTGTGCAGCACTATAACTATCCTGGTTGTACCAAGAGCAGAAAGGCTCTTGGTATACAAAATAAGGGTCACAGACCTTGCTTCTGCCCTCCAGATCTATCCGAGCTGGGATAAGAATTCAGCTCTTTTGGATGCTTTTCACACAGGTAATTCCGATGAGCCACGCACATTTCAGGGTTATTGGGCACAGGCCCCACTCACACTTAAGGCAGACAGACACCATAGAGGATAATACTTACTGCACTATCACAATGATAAGTACAGTAATGAAGCTGATGCTTGAGAGCAGGACAGCTACCACTACCAACACAGTCTTGGAGTAGTCTGCCACATCATTCTTCCTTTGAGTCTTCATGAACTGTTCACCACAGCGCTCACCAAAAAAATCCTGATGACACCTGCAAGTAAATATTAACACATGTTCTTATCAGCTCTGGTGCTGTCTGGAGCCAAGGACACCCACACACAATCAAACCCGACTTAGGCATCTTCCGAGTTTCCCATGAATCTCAAGATGCTCCCTTCAGAGCACGTTCATGAAAGGCAGTCACTGCTCTAGCACAAGGTTTGTCAGCATTTCAACAAGTCGAGATTAGTTTGGGTGTGATGTTCCAGAAAGACACGCCTTTTCATTCTTTTGGTTTGAGTTTATGACCAACTGATGAGTTCAGTGGCTTGTTATGCATCTCAGATTCCATCATCACTTAATTTACATGGCAGAAAGGTTCTCAGTCAAAATACAGCAGGAGACGGACTTAGGCCAAGTTGACACCGATTTTTCCTCTGAGCCCTCATACGCCACCGGCTCATGGCAATCACACCTAATTCACAAGGTACAAGTAACTTACTTGCAGGTCACCATCTGGAGATGTTCTAGGTATATGCATTCTCCGTGGATGCAAAAGTTTTTGTATTCCATTTCACAGGGAGTCCCTTTTTTCTTGTTTTTGCCTCTGTTTTTCTTCCTTCTTGATTTGCCAGCACTCTTCTCACCCCCCCTCTTTGTAGGCTTGGGTTTAACCACAGGTTCAACTGGAAAAAGGACATGATGACTCTAGGCAAGTGCTAAGAAGCACAATTCTGAGAAAACTGAATTACAGAGTTTGGTGAGAGGAAGGAGAACGGTCACTGCAAGAGAATCTGTGACCAGGAAGCACGGGATGCAAGTGAGCATATACCTGGGCATCTCACACCCAGCACCAAGGCAGCAAGCTCAGCAGCTCATTAAAGCACAACTCTGCCACCCTTAAGTCCTGTGCCATGCAGAGCAGAGGCAGTAGAACAGATGAGCTGACAGCCACCACAGATGAAGTGCAGCAGAGATGAAGGACTGCAGCATTTCACAGCACAATATGCCTGAGTGCAATGCACAGGTTCAAGCAAAGGCCTGTAAAGAACATAGAGCTGATGCTGAGCCAAGCCATCCCCTAACTTTATATCGACTCAGATACAAGGCTAATGGCCTCCATGGCTCTAAACTCTCCATTTGCATCAGTGATGAAAGGCATTGTAAATCGCTAGGTAGTCCTGGCACTTGCTGAGGGCAAGAGAGCTTGCTATCCTGGTTAGCATACTTGTTTCTCCTCAACAACCTGCACTGCTGTCCTCAGCAGGACAGAGTTCCTTTACAGTTCTACTTAGCGAGAGATGCCAAGCGCAGGGAAGGAGTGAACGCAAGAGAGCCCGTGAGAGTCAGGTTATTTGCTCTGCCGCTTACTGCTGCCCCTCATTATCTCAATTAAGACAAACCTCTAGAAGAGGGTGGTTTAAAACCCTGGTGACTTAGTAGCCTTTGGATTTAAGAAAGGGCAACCATCTTCCCTTCGCTGAGGAGAACAAGCCAGACACTTGGGGTCAGAAGCTCCAGAGCTGCCCCCTGCAGCAAAGTTCGGTAGGGCGGTTTTAGAGGGAATTGGCAAAAAACGTTTTTTTCTGAAGAACCCACCCTGTCACTGCTACCCATGGCACAGGTCTTCTCAGAGCAACACGCTGCTACTCAGGACTAACAGTTACCCGGGAGAGTTTGAATAGGACTTAGAAACAGCCCAGTTATTTGCAACACACTTCAATTTCCCTCTTGTGCTCTGCAGACCTAACGAAAATCATTTTTGGAAGATTAACATTTCACCCAGAGCACTATGCACACAGGCAATCACCACAATAGGGCACAACTGGATCTAAGTACTTCCTAACCCTGTATTTCTGGTGCTGAGAGCCCACACAAAGGAACAAGGTGTAGTTCACTGTTGTCTAGACAGCTGATCATTTTAACTTCTAGGGCAACAAGCCTGGCTTGAAGTTACTTAAAAGCAAAAATGCCTTCAGCAACCAGAAGTCTGATTAAAATAGTATAAGCTACATTAATATGTAAACGAGGAGCACTGTTCCTGCAGCAAGGTTTCCTGTCCCTGGAAGTGTGAGCTCACTCCCGACAGCTGAGGCCCCTGTTCTGTCCCGTCCAACTCGATCTTTAGGTTTGCGCTTTCATAACTGAGGCCGCTTCCCTTCCTCCCTCTCCCAGGCTCAGCTTGTCAGCTTGATCTCCATGTCCCTGTCTGCAAGCTGCATGGCCAGGAAAGCCATCCCAAGCTGAATCATAACAGCTTGGAGGCTCCACAGATAAACCTCATGCCAAGCAGAAGAGCTGGTCTACAAACCAACCACCTTCAGTAACAAGTCTGGTTTCTGTGCAGTTAGACAACACTTAAGTCACCCAAGCCAGTAGTTTTACAGGCTGAACTGCTTGATAACACTGACAAGCCTGTTTCCCCTGGAGGTCCTCATGAAAAATTTCAGCAAAAAGTCCATAAATTCTCTGAACTAGCCCTCTGGAGCAAGGTCCCCCCCTCCTCTTTAGTCTCATTCATGTCGCAGAGCGTTCCCGCAGAAAAAGCAGTACTCAGATCCACCCTGGAGGCAACAGGACCAGCCTACTCACACCTACTGAGGTTCAAATCACTTGTAGATACCTGGCTTGTATTGCAATTGCACTTAGCCCAGAAACAACAAAATACTCCCATCCCCACAATCAGCCGGGCTACTCACAGCCCTGTAAGTAGGCAAATTACAATAAATACACACAACAGCTATTGGCAGTGAAGCATTGCTCTAAAGCTGCTTAACAAACTTTCCTGCAGCCACTTAAGGAGTTTAAGTGTCTGCTTTCCCAGGACATTTCAGTCGACTCCAACCCAAATAAGCCACCATGAGAAAACACCCAGAAAATTCTCGGAGCAAGACACACAAACTGGAGTAAAACAAACCTGGAGGTGCTGCCAGAGAGCACTTTCAAACGCCACTGATGCTTCCACGCTAAGCAGGTGATTGCTACCTCACCGCAGCCCTCCTGCTACACACAGCAAGTTACCAGCTAACCTGGAGCTTTCACACACCCTGGGCACACTCACGCTAAGTTCCCACCCCTGACAGCTATTTCTAAAGCAGCAGTTTCAAGCACAAGCACGCTTTTGCTCCGTACTCCACGAGCTAAGCACAGCAGCCTTTACAAGAGAAATAAGGCTTAAGTTGGGGCTCGTTAGTCGCGAGACACCAGCCCCGGCGCCGCCGACTCACCTCGGATCAAGTCGTCCACAATGTACTGGTGCACGGGCGGCGCCTCCTCGTACTCCTCCTCATCCTCCTCGTAGTCGGGACCCGGCACGGGCTCGCCCTCACGGCTCTCGGGCTCCCGCTCCCCGTGCCGCTGCGGCTCCGTGGCGTTGGGCGAGGACCCGGCGGCCGCACGGCTCGCTGTGAGGGAGGGGAAACGGCGCCGTGGGCAGGGTGCAAAGGAGCCACCCCAGCCGAGTCCCCTCAGGGTCCCTCACTCGCCTCAGCGCCTTCCCGCCCGCGGCGCGAGCCCCCTCGCCTCGGCGTCCTCCCGCCAACGGCCGTGCCGCGCGCAGGCTCCCCTCAGGCGCGAGCCCCCCTCAGGCGCGAGCGCCCCCCCTCCCCTCGGGTGCGATTCCCCGGCCCTCAGGTGCGATATCCCCCCATCCCGCCCCGTCCCGTCCCGTGCTGGCCCCGCACGCACCTGCCAGCACGGCCAGCGCGGCGATCAGCGCCACAGCGCGCATCGTCGGTCCCGTGAAGGGCGGCGACGGAGGCAGAGAGGGAAGGGGAAGGAATATCGCGACAGGTGCCGTCGGCGCGCAGCGCTCCATGAAAAGCCGCCCGCCGCCGCCGCCCGCTTTATGGGCGGCCGGCGCTGGGGGCGCGGACGTGGAGCGGCGTCAGAGGGGCGGGGCGAGAGGGGCGGGGCGGGAACGTGGAATCACAGAATCCCAGGATTACAGAATCAAAGATTCCCAGAATAGTTTGGGGTGGGAGAGACCTAGATGACCATCTCGTTCCACCCCCTGCCGTGGGCAGGGACACCTTCCACTAGACCGGGCTGCTCCAAGCCCCGTCCAGCCTGGCCTTGGACACTTCCAGGGATGGGGCAGACACAGGTTCGCTGCGTAATCTGGATCCGCCGTGGGTCACAGCGCCGGGGACGCGCCGCGTTATTGCGGGCACACCTGTCTGTCTGCTGGCTCCCGTGCTCCTTGTTCTCCCCGCCTGTGTCCCAGAGAAACGTTTCCCAGCGATAAACCCATCGATCACCCACCCCTCGCCGAGATGCCTGTGTGTGCCTGCTCCAGCAGCGCATGAGTAACAGCTGAGTAAGCGGTGGCATCCACCCGGGCAGGGACAAATGCGCTCCATGGGGGCACTCTGGCTCACAACTGCCCTTCCCGGGGGGCACCTCACAGCGGACATCTCTCCGAGATGCTGTGTGGGGAAGTGGGAAGCAGACCCACTTTAGAATCACAGAATCATCAAGGTTGGAAGAGACCTTTAAGATCACCAAGTCCAACCATCACTGCCACTGTAACCCCTAAACCACATCACCCAGCTCCAGAACCAGATGCCTCTTGAACACCTCCAGGGGTGGTGACTCTACCACCTCCCCAAGCAACCTGTTCCAATGCCTGACCACCCTAACAGTGAAACCATTTTTTTTCTAATACCTAATCGGAATCTCCCTTGTTTAAGGCCTTTTCATCGAGTCCTCTCACTGCAGGCATGGCAGAAGAGACAAGCCCCCACCTCATTACGACCTCCTTTCAGGAAGTTGTAGAGAGAACTACTGCTTTGAGGGGGGAAAAAACAGAACAGCGGGTGGGCTGGGCTAGGGTGGGAACCCAGAGAAGCCCAGGGGGACAAGGATGAAGGGATTGGTGTCCCTCTGCTCCGGTCCCGCAGCACAGAGGGCAGGAGGGCAGTGGGTGGCAAAGCTGCCAAGCGTTGGGAACGGAGGACCTGGACCTTCTAACTGAGAGGGGCTAGAACGCTACTTACAGCTCGGGAAGCTGACGGAGCCTTTGCTTGAGGTGACAGGGATCCAGGTCGCTCAGTCACTGAACCTTCTCCCTTCTTCCACACACACGCAGATGCTCCCAGTGTCTTTGCCGGGTCGTGCCAATCCCAAGAAGTGATGCCCAAGAGGTCTGGAAAAGAAGATGCTGAATCAGTCACTCGGATGTTAACCTGGGACACACAGCCCCGGCAAACCTCCGGCAGTCCCTTTGTGCACGGCGCAATTAAAACTGACTGGCAATATCCGACAGCTTTACTGGTGGGAGTTTTGTCATGTTCCCCCTCATTTCCTGTGCCTTTCCTCAGAGTGGCTGCAGCAGCAAAAAGACAAATCCGGCCTGGCTGCCGCAGTCCCAGGACAGAGAGCACTGGCAGCTTCTGGGCTATAGCTCTATGTGGGGGCAGGCAGGTGACCCATGGGACCCCTCCTTTCCCCCTCGGGTTGGAGTTCCCTTCCCACAAGTCCCCCATAAGTCCCAGGGCCTGGCATTCACAGAGATCATTTGCATGTGAGTGGAGTTTCTCCAAAGGCAGAAAGGGATTTAGGGTCTCTTCTGCTGAACTGTGGGGTCGGTGGTGTGAGAATGGCCAAAGGGAGGTTTGGAAGCGAGGAATTTTCCTCCTTCCTGCCTGCCATGCTCAAGGCTGGCACCTCAGCCTGGCACTGCAGCTTGCCTCATGAATTTCCTTTTTTGCAGGTGTTAAAACAAAATATTTCTCCCAGCTTTTTTATCAGAGATTCACTGGAAACATTTCCAATTAATTTTTTAAAATTCAGTCTGAGGAATATACTGAGCACTGAACATTCCAGTCCTGTGTGCTGCACTTGGCAAACTGCTGAGCAGCTGGAAGGAGAAGCTTAGCAGGGGAAAGGTTGAATGCCCCGAGTGCAATTGCCCATGTTACCTGCGCTGTTTAGAGACCAAACACGGCATATCCAGCATCTGACTCACACCGTGTTCCCTCTCTCCTCCAGTCTCCAGCTGATGGCTCCATCTCACTGACTGCCAGTAGTGAGGAATTTGGCTTGGGATGCTTTGAACCATTTTACCAACTTCCTCCTGCTGCTCCTGTGTCCTTCAAGAAGGGGCAGCCCGGCATCAACCAGCACAATTCCTCGGGGTCCAGAAAATGCAGCAAGGTGGTCATGGGCACCGGTTGTGCACGGAGAGGTTCAGGGGAGCTCTTCCCAAATGGCAGTGTCCTGGCCAAGTCCTGCTTGGCTGCTTCTGGGAGAAAACACCCTCCACAGGCCACATGTTTCAGGGCATTCCAGGTGGAATTCCATAGGCCTCACTGCAGTGGGGCCGGCTAGGCAGGGCTCCCCTTTGGGAAGGTGCTGGTTCCCCGTGGATGCAGAGTGCCACCTACTGAGCCACCGCTCCCAGCAGCACCAGGGGTTTCCTGGCAGGACATCCAGGCTGGGGCTGCTGCTCAGGGAGTGCCCTTGCTCTCGCTATTCCATCAGGACCGTCCCAGGGGACAGGGAGCTTCCCCAAAGGCTTTTGAGCCAACAGGGTGCAGCTTAGGGATGAGCACGGAACATGTGCAGGGAGCTGCACTCATGGGCACGGCCAGTCTTTCCTTGGCACCTGCCCTGAGCAGACCTCGTTTTCCATGGGCCAGCAGTGCAGCGGCAGGAGATGGGCTGCTGACTCTTGCTGGTGGAAATGTGAGCCTCGGGAGACCAGCTGGCCCTCCCTGGGCCTTGACCATCAGCTTGAAAACCTCCAGCACAGCCCAGGCTCAGACAGCACCCGACAGCACCCAGTGCAGGTGACAGTGGTGACAGCTTTTCGCCCCTCTGATCCCTGCCCATGTTTGGGGAATAGGGGGTGGCCAGAACACAGCCATCCCATCCCCAGCCATGCCACGGCGACCCAGGGTATGGGCAGGGATTTGTGGAGGCGAAGTGACATCGATGCTGACAGCTGCTGGGCCTGGTGGAGTGCGCTTGGACATCGTGTCTTCCAGGAGGTCCGAGTGCCAACTGGGATCTTATTATTCACTCTCTTTACTTTTGATAAAACCCCTGAGAAATGCGTGAAGGGAAAGGAAGTATCTTAAATACCATCCCATTAATTTTCTTAACTGACATCAAATGTTTATTTTGCCAGGGCGGGCACAGCTGACCTGGTGTTTGAACATGAGTTATCCTTTCTCATCCATCCAGCTGAGAACAGGTGGAAAAGGGTAATGACTCAAACCAGAGTGGTGTCTGTCTGGGCAGCTCACCAGACTTTCACTTCACTTGTGAGCTGCAGACACCACTATCTTTTGCTATCAGCAGCTCCCTCACAGGCAGCAAGGGAGCTTTGAAGTGAGGCATGTGTGACTCTGGTTCCTGCTAACGTAAATCAAGATTGCTGTAATAGAGAGCATGTTAGTGTGTAGCCAAAGTGTTGGGGAGGAAGGGAGGGAAAGGCCTGGATATTGCTTTTCTGGAAATCAGTAGAGTTTGTCAGTCTCTGAGACATGCAGGTGTCCAGGTGGCTGTGCCTCCTTGCCGAGAAAGCCCTCAGCAAATAATTATTTTTTAGGATGGTGACATTCTCCCTGCGCTCCACTCCTTCCCCAGAGACTTAAGCTGAAGCAGGAATTGCATGAGCAATCCCAGAAAGGGAATAATCTGTGCACTCTTCCCCCTGGGGAAGCCTGACTGGTACCACAGTGTTTACAGTCTCTCTGCATCTGACTGCAAAATCTTCTGGAGCATGTCTAAGGAGAAAAGGAACAGAATCTGCTGCTCCCATGGTGCCAAGATCTAGAATTTTCTCTCATTTATATCAACACAAATGAAAAAACAGTCCCTCATGAAAAACTAAGACGTATCTTCTCAGCCAGCATCAACTCCAGCGGCCACCAGCATCCCTGCCTAATCTAATGAAACACACAGCAGTGCCAAGGAGTGTGATGCTACTGAATCACAGCAGTGGGATTTACACTCACTTTCCACAGGCCTTCCTGGGTGGCAGGCAGTGGGGAGCACAGCCCCATCATTTGCAGAGTACCCCAGGCCATGTCGTGGCTCCTGTTGTTGCCTCTCACTGGCACTAGGCACAGCTCTGCAGGACATGCCAGGCTCGGCTTTGCTTCAGGGGTGTGGAACGTGCTGTGAGCCTGCCCAGGACAGCAGTCCTGACACGTGCTAGGAGGATTTTTGGGAAGTTGTCTGCTGTTAGCACAGTGCCCTGGGCTTCTACTGCTCTATTCTCCACACAGCACCAAGCAGGTCTCGTTTGACCAAGCACATCCTCCACAGCTCGCCCACTCGTTTTTGTGCAACAGCTCAATCTGCAAATGCTTGGGGCAGATCCTGACCCCAGCAGTAATTTTAAGGGCCTGAAGCCAGGAGCCGGGTGAAGCAATACTGGATTTACACTAGAATGGGGAGCTGTCCCTCAGCTAACAATCTCCTCCTCTAAAATACCACGTTCTGCCATGCTGCAGAGCACTGAAAATCGCTGCCCTTTCTTCTGCTTCCTCGGGCAATTCACAGGAACTTCCCCCAGGACTCTCTGGCAAGGATGGGCTCATGGCCTTCCCCACGTGCACCCCAGGGTAGGCTCCCCACAGTACCCCAGTGCAAATCCACCCTCCTGACCCCACTGGGCAGAAAGGGGAAGGTGCTTTAGACAGGAACCCCTAAGGAAACCAAGGCCCGAGCTCAGCTGCCGTAGTCAGTGCCTTTACACCAATTTACCAGGCAACATTACTGTGGCCCTTACCTCCAATACACAGTGTTTCACCTGCACGGCACATTATTTGATTTATTCAGCTTACCACACCATTGTTGGTGTCATCACTCTTCTGGGTAACATTTCCAGGATTGCAGCCCAGCATGGTCCCTAGCAGAGGAGAGCACCCAGCTCATCACATCCCAAAGGTGTATGGAGCCACTGTATAATTATGCAAGTGCTTCAAAAGTCCTCATTCTAAACAGAGGAGAAAAAAAATGTTTAAATGTGGAGCTGTGCTTGAGATAGCAAAAGCTGCTGTTCATTGAGTTTGGAGATCTCCCAGCTCAATCCCAGAATGCACTGACTTTAGAGCATGTGTAGTTACGTGGGTAGTGTGGCTGCTGGAAAAATGATGCTCACAGTTGGGAAAACAGGTTTTTTTTATCTCTAGTGTTTTACAGAGCCAGAGCGGAAATCTTAAAATTAAAGAAAACCTCCCCAAACCAAAATGCCACTGCAGGGGGGTAGAGATGGAGTGGCAACAATCTGGGGGGTACTTTTAAGGGTCTTGACCATGAAAGTCTGGCGGACCTAAAGCACGTTGGTGTCGCTGGAAGTTGCAGCGGGTAGTCTGACTGAGTTTGTCTCACACCCCTTTCCTCATCTTGGGGGCTGGGGAATGAAGTCACCTCGGAGATGTCTATCACAGCCCATTTGACAACACAGAGCATGTGAGCAAATGATACAGCACTGCCCGTTCCGAGGGAGTGTGGCCTCACAGGAGGCCTGGAAGCACGTGACAGAATCAGCATGATGTTTTCCTTCTCTGTTGCATGTGATTTCCAAAGTGTCCAGAGTAGCAGAGAAATAAAGGACATGTGAGGAATATTTGGGAATTTTCTCCTGGAAATGCAGCTTAAGTCTTACCTTTTTGCTTTAAAATCTTCCCAGCGCCTTCCCATAGGTGCATCAGGTGGTGAATTTTCTTTACCTATTTGAAGTCATTTGGTATGTGAAGAAAGAATGAATCACAGGAGAAGCCTACAGCAATTAGCAATTCCTTTCCTCTCACCTTTGCCAGAGCCAGGTTTTTTCCCTAGAACAAAGCCCAGGCAAGGTTTCCTACGCACAACAGTGATTACGTAGATCACTCAGGATTTTGTTTTTTTCACAGGCCATGAGCAAGCAAAGAAGCTCAGGAGAACACTCCATTTCACAGGCATGTTTGTTATGCTTCCTTGGAAATCCCATTGTTTGTTGGTGGTGCCTGCTTTTGGCTACCAAGAGCTGTGCCCTCGTGACATCTGGCTGCCTTGAACTGCACCAGGGTGCCAGCGAAGAGGCATGAAATTTGGGAAACCAGAAAGGTGCTGCTGGAATCAGTCAGTCCTGGCAGCTGGAGCGCTCATGTCAGTGTGCTGAAGCAGGATCAGTGAGGGCTTTGTGAACTGCTTCCATCCCTCAGTGGAACCTGTGTCCCCTGTTCCCTCCGTGTCACATGTGTCCCTGCGGGGCTGCAGCGCGGGGCCAGCGCGTTCCCAGGACAGGACTGCTGAGACACAC